GAACCGAACCCGAACGGTTCCATAATTATATTTGGACCCGATGGTTTCATTTACTAGATACCCGAAAATTTTGTTTCGATTCGATTCTCTTTAGAATCGAACCGAAAGAGAACCGAATCGACCCGCGCCCACTTCTAACTCCCCGTAATTTCTTTTTTGGGCGAACCATGGGCCATTTGACATTTATTAGTGAGCCCATTTCTATAATATAAGTCGCAAGAAATGATTCCGTTTCTATAAATTAATTTTTTTTCCTCCAAATGCCTAATATTTGATTAAAAAACTTGAACTAATTTCATTTTTATTTTTATTTTTATACCATTCAACTATCCTTTATCAATATGGATCGAAGTATCCATTCGATTGAATATCCCAAGAACAGTTCAAAATCCGGTCCAATTATAAGGTAAAACTTGAATATTCAAAAACCGTAAGAATGAGCAACAAAGTAGACTTGAAACCTGAACCCCCCCCCCCCCTCTCAAGAACCTGTTTGATGGAATTTATTTGAAAATAATGAGTTATTGAATAGTATTTTTTGGAAAATGTGCGATTAAAAAGTGAGGAAACTTTATTAATTTGTATGTAGAATATTTTACTGTACGAATGTATGATGGAGAATTGCCACTGTAACAAAAATTTAAATTTTTAAAGGATGACAAATAAGGGATAAATCATGCTTTATTCATTTTATTATTAATTAAATCCTGGGCCGACCCTTAACCATTTTTTTTCCCTTTCTTTTACCAGTGGATTTTTAAAACATTTATTTCATATGAATTATGCAAAACATTGTTACAATAAACCTACCAGCTAGCAACGGTAGTGCAGATAGTGAGGACAAAGTAGCAATGGTGATTAATGTCGGTGGCGTACTCGTCACGAAAGTGAGAGTGCCTTCAAAATTCTATTCCTTACGCCACCACAAGAACTCTTGTCACTTTGTTTGCTGGCATAGGTTTCCTTTGATAAGATTTTTAAGAAGTTATAAATTATTTTTGAAATTAAAAAGTCGTTCTTGAATATGTTTGGATAATTTTATGAAAACATTTTGTCTTGTCGAACATATCTATAATTCCGAAGCCAGATTAATTCCAAGAAGATAACTCCTAATTCTTGTACGGGACATGTATTATTCTCTCAATCCCATAAAGATATATTTGATTTCATTTTTCTTCGTCCAAATTATTTCACTTTTTTTTTTATTGGGAGTATAATTGATTTTTTTAAGCTTTTTTAACATGTCCTTATTTAATGTCCGCTATTATCAACAAATGTGACTTATCTTATTTAGGCTATTATTTAAAAATAATGTTATTTGCAGTCGCTTACTGCGGTAGTCGCCCTACGTGGCATACATATGACATGTGGTTATTTGATGCATTAATGAATAAAAAAACTACCACATTAATGCATCAAATAATCACCTGCCATGTGTATACCACGTAAGGCGACTACTGCAGTGAGCGACTGCAAATAGCATTACTCATTATTTAATGTAGGAGTATATTAAAAAAATAGTATATATTTTCAATTATATTTCATTAATATATTGGTATGATATTGATGGAATTAATTAATTTTGTTGTTTTACATTATTATCACTTCGGTAGAAATCATGGCACAAAGCGTGGGATGTGTAGCGTCAAGTTGGTTGCTGAAATCAAAGAATTTGTTTGCTGGGAACAAAACAACATACTTTGGAAATGCTTCTCTCTTTATTTTTCCTTTTCCTATGTGCTACCTATTTACAACTTACCAATCAATTGTGATGCATGTACATAAGTTGAGATCTGCTATTTAAAATTGATCCTTCAATTTGTTGTTCACCAAATAATTCATTGAGACATTATTTAAATTAACATATCTAACTTTTCTCTCAGTGTCGCTTGTGTTTAAAAATGTGCAAAATAAAGTATCAATGAATCATTAGTAGATAACAAATTGGACAGTTAATTTTGGGCAGCCAGTCTCAACTCCAGGTACATAATTCCATCCATCTTTGTGTGTAAACCATTATGTGCATGAAACACAATTCATTTGTCAGTTAATAGTATTTTCTTCTTAAAATTAAGAGAAAATAAATGCTCTGGACTCTAGTACCACTAGAAGGAAAGGGCAGAAGCTCTGCATTTGTCACATGGTTTGTGCCTCTCTCGCAGATTAGTTCTCAATGATTGAAAAACGATATGAGCATATAGATTACTAAAATCGCGTAGTAATCTTTTTTTTTAGTATTCCTAAGAAATGCAATAATTCTTTCTTGAGTAAGAAAAAGGTGGACAAGACCCAGACGGGTAGTTAAAATCAAATTGTAGATAACATTGTTCTAAAATTAGTGTCTCACTAAGCTTCAATCAAATTAACAAACTTACTTTCAAGCATGTTTTTTCATTTTTCATTTTCCTTATTCTGATTGTCAAATTCACTCGAAAACAATATCGGATAAATCATAAATGGACCGCTTATTCGGCAAAGAACTGGTGAAGGTTCACTATTTACTAATCCCAAGTCTTGTGATATCAACACAAAGTAAAGTGAAAAAGTAGAGTAAATTAAAATTAAAACAAGTAAAAAGGAAAAGAAGGCGTTGATCCAACGTTGTTGGTCGTTTCACGTGATCCAACTCACAATCTGGTCTTGTCACCAAACGGAACTAATCTTTAACCTTAGTTGCTGCATACTGTATATTTATTTAGTACCAATAGTGACAAAATTCATCACTAAAATATTTTTTTTGTCTGAAACAAACTAATGAAGGCTTTACACACATATATGTATTACATATTTGAAAAATCATCATAAGATCCAAGAAAGTTCCATATTTGCTTAAGAATCGAGTCATTGAAATTGGATCAGGACAAGGACCTCAATTAAAATAATTTTTGAAAAGTCAAAAGTAATTTCTGAAATTAATTAAGAAGTTGTTTTTGAACATGATTAACCGATTTCTGAAAACACTTTGTTTGACTAAAAGAGTTTCATAGAAACTGTTCTAAAGTAACTTCTTTTTTATAAAAAAAATAGAAGCAGAAATTCTGCCAAGCAGACCCTAAGAAACTGATTACCAGATATAGCTCGCTCTCAATGATGCCAAAATGCATGCAAAATATATTGCTTGTATTTGCAGTGGGCCCATTCTTTCTCACATGAGTGGCACGTGATATATAATTTATAGGGCAAGAAAAAAAATTTAAAAAAAAAAAAAAAAAAAAAAAAAGGTTGAACCCCAATCTTGAGGGCCCCACCGCCCCCGCCCCTAGAGTTTTGTGAGGGAGGTAAATCGCGCGATGTGCTCCATCAAGTCAAGGAACAAGAATTGTCTGTACACTGCGCTTATAAGAAGTCCAATTCCATATCAATATATAATTTATACATACATACATGTAGCGAGAGAGAAAGGGACATTTATATTTTCTGATGACATTGTGTTTGGTGCTGATCTCTTTATGTGGGAGCATTAATGGGTATTTACTTGAAACAATTTTCTCTCGCGCACACAATTGAATCCGAATTTCACTTTCAATATTTCAAGTCAAAAGATTTAGTGTAGCATGTGACTACTGTTCCTTTACATAACTCTTCAGGCACTTTAATACTTCATTATTTGGCAATGTCCTCGTAGTAGAGTAGAGTAGAGTAGAGTAGAGTAGAGTAGGTGAATGAATGAATGAATGAATATAGTCAACTTTGCCAACATCCTAGACATTTTTTTTCTATTCCCCCAACATCTACCAAATATACAGAGATTTTATTCGAGTAAGAAAGAAAAGTGTTGGCTGTACAGACGAAATTCATCTTAAGCTCACGGAATAAGATAAAACTTATCCTCTCAAAAACAAACATAACAGGAAATTGTCTTCTTAAAACTATGAAATCGACAAACAAAAGCCCACCTTGTAGTAATTTGTCTTGGAAGATATACCTGAAAATACCTCCCAAAAGGGACCCTGGAAACTTGAAGTCAAATGATGGAATCTCCAAGAGATACATAACATTTCGGGGAAAGATTTTCCAGTAAAATTACGGAAAAGCCCTGATATCGACAGTTGAAGGCTTGAGAATCAGCTGAGAAAAGAAAATGCCATGGGGATGGCATACTTGCTAGTCAGCCCCGGCAACGAGGTTACAATTCCTGTTTTCCTGTTTCAATTTTGAATTTTATAGGGTGAATCAGTTGCGAAAATTCAGTCAAATGCGTCGTCAAAAGGAAGTCAGGAACAAAGCTTTCAGTAGTTCAGCTGTACAATAAGCAACCGGAGCTTTCGCTGTTTGGTTATGGCTCTACATTACTACATTATTGGTGCTTGAATCAGATAGAATCTTCAACCTTCTTGCTGTTTTCATGAAGTCACTGCAACATCCACAAACGAAACAAATACGTGAAAACAAGTTCACTTGGGGAAATCGCATATAATATAGGCAAAGCACTAACTCTCACCTAAATGGTTTATCACCAAGTTTTCGCTCAGCACCTGTGACATCCCAGTACAAGATATGAGTTAGCATCTCCGATATATCAACACCAAACATATTTTCCAATTTTCCGTATAGTTCTTCATAAGAACTGAGCAAAGAAAGGTCCAACGTGCGACCTACGTCCTCTGACTCCATGAAAACCTTGCAGTGACCAGTCTCAGGGTTGAGTTCCAAATGAAAACCTTCACATGAGCGCTCTGGTGCACCATGTTGATTAAGGGCGGAACCAGATCCATCAGAAGTATTTCCTATCTTATCTGCATTTCCGTCTGAAGAACTATTGCCTGTGCCAATTGTTGAAACTGTATCGCCAGAGCAGCTCAAAGAAATCTGCTGCTCAGTAAGAATTGGGCAACCAAAAAGTAGGAATTGGCCAGCCTTGCGATTATCGGTTCTTTTTGAAACTTGGTTGGAACTTCCCATAGTTAGAAGACAAGAAACATTCTCGTTATTACCTAGCTTGGGTAAGATTAGATTGGAAGCTCCCATGTGTACAGAAGCTCGATCGAGCGGCATAAAATCAACTGGAAATAAACCCGACTGTAGTTTATTGAGGTGGAGATCTGGTAATGATAAACCATATTGAGCGTGCCTGGCTCCCTGCATGCCAGCAGGAGTATTGTCAGGAAGACAACCAAATGGGTTACTGGATCCAAGAACCTGGTTGCCCGAAAAAACTGACAATGGAAGTTGGCCATCGAGAAGGAAGTCGGGATGTTGTGGTAATCTCAATTTCTTCCGCGGTGACGAAAAAGGAGAGAGATGGATGGTGGGCATGTTTGACACTAATTCTACCAGCCATGGACTCACGCGTTTCACGTTTTGGAGTAGATCAGGCTCGTCCCAAATCACCTGCAATAGTTTATCTTCCGTTAAACAGGTACATGTGAAAGCAAGAAAAGACTGAGTACTATTGCAATTCATTCAGCTACGGAAAAGTTTTCATCAAATTTCAGAAAATATTACGCAACATGCAAAATTAAGCCTCAACAGTTTTCAGGAAGTAAAAGTTGAGATAGCATCAATAATCAGACCAACTCTACATAATCACAAATTTAAACCCAGGAAAAATCACATATTTATCTAATTATTTCTAAAATAAGTTGCATCAGTCAATGCTTGAAAAGATCTCGGGAAAATAGATAGGAAAACTGATCAGTACAATTGGTTCAAGAAACTGAGTAGATACGGAGAGAAGAAGATAAATCCTAATATATCTGGTAAACTTGTAGGAAATATCATGCAATTGTTATGATCAAGCTTGTAAGGGAATTGCACCCAAGATTGTTATAAAATTGGCCTAAGAACATCATTCTTTAGCAGAAACTAGAGCAGAAAGCATAAAACTGCCGGCATTATATCGTGCAAAAATTGCAAGCAGGAATAACTATAAACCAAGTAACAAGATGTATTTAACACTAACTGTACTACCTGGAGAAGTCTCCAAGGTGAATCTGGCCAGCGAATGGGATCAGCAACGTGAACTGACGATATGGTTCCCATGAACCAACTTATTCGTGAAGAATCCTCTGTTTCAAAGGCCATCTTGAACCTCATGCCAGAGAACCACTGAGTTTGCAATGCTGCCTTTACAAGAGATGCCTTCACAAAATACTCGGGTGTGCTAGCTCGAGGATAAAAAACCACCTCGAAAGGCTGTCCAGAGACAGCAAGAGTTGCAGCTTCAATAACTGATTCAGGCTTCACTCTTCCCCGGACAATCAAATTCCTGCCAGCATTTCCACTACCATTTCTGGTCAATCTATTGTCTTCTTCCCTCAGTAAGTCTGAAAATCCTCCGTAAGGCACAACACAACTGCCACCTGCCGGGTTCCACAGAGATGGCGTTTCCAGTCCCCCATCAATTCCTCTCTTTGCCCGCCTGATTCCAATGCAAAGATCCCCATTTTCTGCCCTCAAAAACACAATTGAATCTCCTGCCACAAGCTTCTTGTGGTTCACAAAAGTACTCCATCCTGTTGTCAAGAGATGGCGCCTTGGTGTCCCTCTGTAAATATGCCTAAATTTCCAAGTCTCCCCATGAACATCCTTTGCCAAAATGGTCTGAACAGGAGGGTCGGCAGAGTAGTCTAGTCGAGGAAAAATTGTCTCCGCACAATACCTCGGTACAGAAAAACCCCCGCCATTGTTTGCATCAGATTGTGTTAATGTCTTTGCAAATGAAGTGGGTTTATCAGGATTATCCGACACATTGATCCCACCAACTCCAACTCCACCTTCGTCAAAATCAGCCTCATTTCCATTAACAGGAATCAATCGGATTTTCGAAAAAACCTCATCAGTCTCGGGATCCGCCATGAATTTAATTGCAGAAACTGTACAAATTATATATGCCGGAACTCTAGGGCAGCTCCTAAAATCAACGTTTCCCGAGGCATGCTCTGCGTGCCCTTGAGGGAAGTAAAACACCTTTGAATTCACCGGCGGCATTTGGACCATACTACCGGCACAAGCATGCCATAATTGAGAGTCCAAGCATTTCTCATGTTCTTTCATTTTCTCTTTGGATTCTATAAATGTAATCATCTCAATCAACAATTCTATCGCCCAGTTATTAAACCCAAAACTCAATGCATAAAAGACCTTTCTTTAGAATCTCGTTTATCACACTTCAAACATCAATAGCTGCAAAATTAAAGGTAGATTTCTTATGCATAATAAAAAAAATCAATAGTTTCTACACAATCAAATAAAAGAAATCACTAACAATAATAAATTGAACCAAAAGAAATTCAATTTCTTACCTCTTCAATCTCCAGTTTCCAAACAAATCCATCTGCACAAACATCAAAAACTCCATAATAATTCAAAACTGTAAAACTCAATCTCCTCGTTTAATTCAGTAGAAAACACTTTAAAATCCAACGTTTTTACACAAAATTGATAACCCCTCGCTGTAAAATTATCCGCTCTCACTCCTTAGCAGAAACACCAAGTTTACAACATCCCCATCCATCTTCAACAACACAGCAATTTAAAAATATATATATAAAAAAATAAGCCAATAGTAAACAAGAAAACTAGATTTTTAAGCCCTAGCAAAACCAGGAAGAACCCGTTGATTTTCTTCAATACTTATTTAATCTCAACCCAATTCACACATATACACAATCTCTCTCTCTCTCTTCTCCCTCTACCCAACTCCCTATATATATGTCAAAATAGAAAAAGTATGCACTACATAGGTATGTAAAGTCCTCGCACGTACGCAGAGACTGAGACTCTTTTTATCTTTTCACCTGATGGGTTTTGAATTAATACTTTTTACCTTTATCTTCGGATCTGAAGAAACTTCTGATGTGCCTAGTACAAACTAAAAACAAAGATCTTAATGCAAGCTACCCATCTCCTACTTTCTCGATTTCTTTAGCAAATAAAATAATAAACAATTATTTGTTTATTCAGGTTCAGTGGATAAAATATGAATAAATTCATTCTCTTTCTTACTGGGTTGGATTTAATTGAATTTTCTTGATTACGGTAGTTCGAATAGATTAATTGAGATTTTGAAAACAACAATGTCTTGTAGTGAGTGCAATAGTCTAACTAGATTAGTTTAATATTTCCATTAATTGAAGGAAGTCAAGAGTTTGTTCTAAAAGCAATGCAGACTTTAGGTAGACAAAAAGGTGGTTTTTGACAAACTTTAACCATGGTTAACAATTGGGTTGGTAAGAGCGTTGTTTCTCGAGATTTGTTATTTTGATAATTTAAACCAATCCGTGCTGCCATTATTTACTCTTCATTTATCCAATACGATTTTTTATATATTTTGAATTTAGTTCCATTCGATGACGGTAATATGATATTATCTGTTATTTATATAGACAATATGTGTCACACATTGTCTATCGTATTTTTCTATAAACTCAATTTTTCTTTAGATAGTTCGTACAAATAGCCGTTGAATAGAAAAAGAAAATTGATTAGCTAGGTTAAGACTAAAGACTTTAAGAGAGTGTAACTTGATTTGTGTAAGCTAAATTACTTTGGTTAGGCCGCTAATTTGAATATTATTGTACGTCTAATTCTATAGGCTCAACTTTGGCACCATTTCTTTCAAACCTTCTTTCAATGTTTTTGAAAGGGAAGCAATGGAAAGGACAAAACTTTTTGAAGCTGATGCAACCCAAAAGGCGCTAAAGGACCGATGAGGACGATTTGTAGCACCAATTTAGATGATAGTCAGCCCACAATTTACAATTAATAACTCTTCATTGATCCTACATAACAATATTTTTCTTCTACACTTATTAATTGGTCGATGTGTCAAATATCCTCGATGAAATTAGGTGCAATCATGTATTACAATTAAATTCGAGTAAAACCCTAGACATCAGCTAACAGTAAATATACATGTAGAATGTGGTTAAATTGTGGGGCAAGGGCTCTAGTTATTTCAAGTTTTTATACGGACCATGCTTGTTGTACACCATGCTATACAACATGGTGTACAGCCTCCTAATCGATTTTTTATTAATGGTGAGCCCCCTTATGTGTGAGGGGGCTGTACAAGCATGGTGTACAATCACCTTAACCCTTTTTATAAATAAGTAGTTTGCAAGGACAAAATGTGTGTCCCATTACATATTGTTCAAATTACTACACAATCACTTACTACTAATTGTTGTCCCAATTAGATTTTACGAGATCTCACCATCCTTCTTCAACTTACTAACAATCCCTCTATGTCCAAGGCACATCTCTTCTTTCGTGATATTTTTGTTGTGTACAAGTTCTTCCATTTAGAGGTGTAAAATTAATTGGATGGACCCGAACCGCTCAAAGTTCCATTCTTCCAATTAGGGGCGGACTCACTAAGGGATGAGTGGGGTCGGCCACCCCCACTGTATTTTCAAAAACCTTCCATTCGACCTTGTTAAATTTAAATTTTCAGAATTTTTTTTTTCATAATTTATTTTAGCCAATTTTTTGTCTCGCCCCCACTGAAGAATAATTCTGAATCCGCCTCTGCTTCCAATCTTTATCGTTTTCTCTCCCACTCTAAGAAGACTTCTCCTCAATAGTTCGGATTCCCCGCCCCGCCCCGCCCCGCCCCACAAATGTGGCTCTTTTGGTGTCTAGGTTTGAGCTATACGTATATGTACATGTGTATGTATATGTCGGAGCATCCAAATAAAAAATCAGAGAAATATTCTGAGTGATGATTAGGAGGCGACCAAGGCCATTACCGGCGTCTTCACATTATTATTATGTCATATACTGTGGCCACTAACTGAGACTCAGTACTGTGTTGCACCCCACAAGGAAAGGGAAGAACCATGTCATTTGCTGCCAAGGGACCCTCCCCACATCAATGGATTTAAACGCGCAAGACAATGCGGCCTGATTTTGAATTGACAGTCTATGCTTGTTAGGGCATCTTTGTTCGGATGTGGTTTTAAGGGTTGTTTGACAAAGCTTTTATAGATTTTGATAAAAACTAATGTAACATGTAGTTAAAAAGTTTTGGATCCCATGAAATATGTGATTAAAATTGAAGTTTGACCAATTGAAAATTTGATAAATTTTCTTTATCAAATGAGCACTAAGTCTTGTCTAGCTGAGACGGGCCTCACATATTATTTGGGTAGGGAACTATGTCATTTCTATCATTTGCATTCACTTCTTTTTCTAAATATAGACTCATGTAGGGCATGGGAGCCTCCAATATTGTTCGACATGGCATCATCTTGGGGTGATTTATGCAGGGCTATCCATGACCCTATGAAACTCTTCTCTAGACGCACGAAGCTTAATATTATTTAGGTGAAGAACTTGTCGAGTTTCCATATTATTTAACTATTAGCTCACATAAGACACGTGTCTCCACACAGTTTGTCAGACCGCCTCGACTTTAATTTTTTTGAACATTTGTCCTAGCACGTTAGAAGAATTCTATGTATGTACACATATGGCCATGGGTGTGCATAATTATATAAAATAAATATGGAGGAGAGGTTGCAACGGTGATCCATTTAGGTACATAAGATTGAATGACTGAAACGTGAGATTGTGCCCACAATTCGGCCCTTTCTTCCCACAACGTCATTTGAACTTGTAAAAACATATACGTTAGTGAATTAATATAGAAATGGTCCATGTCAAATGTTGGTAGTTTTTGTCTCTCCCAACATATATTTGCAACTGGGACAGCTAAGTGCTAACTAACCCATGCAAGTTGTTGGTCTTGGTCCATACGTAATTAATTAACACATAGTACGGCCTTTCTTCTCATTAATTAAATTGAAAACAAGAATTTGATTGATGCCATACCATAATATTCAACTTGATTCCATTTTTCAACTAAAAAGTTATATCAAATAGATAAGAATTCAAATTTTTTCCTCTCGATATTTTACGCTTGCATTTTATTTTTCAACTAATCGCATTTCGATATTGATATGGATATTGATATTGATATATTTGCTTGTGATTATTCTAAACAAAAATAGTTTCCTCAATTTTATTTTTATTTTTAATTTTTTTTTTTTTTTGACATACTAACCATATATGCATGTGACTTTAGGACATAGTTATTGTACTATATTACCCAAGCTTAAAGACACCATTTTTAAGGAAAAATTAGTGGTGGACTCCTCTACCTTTCTGGTAGCTTTGAAATAGCTCCCAACTTTTAAAAGTGAATTTCTGACTTCTCAAGTTATGTAAATATGTAAGTTTGGGTCCTCAAATAACGTAAATCGTTAAATTCATTGTTAAAATGTCAAATTTTATATAAAAAGATTATTCTACCATTATGTTTAAGAAAAAAATAAAAAAGAAAAATAAGGAAAATGACAAAAATAAACAAAAGTCAACCCACCCCCAACTACTACCCTCAGGCAGCAGCCACCACCTGCCACACCGCCGTCAAGCCACCCACCCAGGCCAAAAACCACCTTCGCCAAAGAAACAAAATTGAAACCATACCACCAAACAAACCATCATCTCTAACCCAATGCCCCCATTAAACCACCACCTCTCATTTATTGCCGTCACACCCTTATGAACATTTCCAAGTAATATTCCACTGGAGTTATTCTGGTCGAGTTAATTTAATCAATAGTCACTAAATTTTATTATAGATTATTATTTCCTAATTGAAATTTAAAAAGTTACTCATTTCTCATCGAACTTTACTACATGTTACTATTTGCTATTCAAAATTAAAAAGTTACTCGTTGTTTACTCAAATTTGAATAAATTTACTCATTCATCACCCATATCATTTTCATCAGTTTACATGGCAAAAATCAATGTAATGGATGGAAAATCCTATGTGGCACTACAAAGTTAAAAAATAGGAAAAAAATCCACGTGGCGCATGATGAATATTGCCCATGTGATCGCATAGTGTTGTTCAGTATCTTGTTTCTGCTTCTAGAATTTACCCCCCTTTTTATTTTTATTTATTTATTTATTTATTTTTTAACAAGAAGAAGGGCAGAACAATGGTGAACTTCAGCAACAAAAATTGCCCACGCAATCGGAGAGGACAGAGCCATGTGATCACATAAGCAATTTTCATTGTGTGCAATGAAGATTTTTTTGCGCATGCAGTTATTTTTTAACTCCACCAATTCCACGTAGGATTTTTCATCCATCATGTTAATTTTTTTCCGCGTGAACCTATGAAAATGACATGGATGATAAATGAGTAACTTTGTTCAAATTTGAGTGAGTAATAGTAATTTTTTAAATTCCAGTGAGCAAATAGTAACTTATAACAAAGTTCCTCTAGTAAAGACCTTTTTTTTTTTTTTTTTTAATTTTGATGAGCAATTAGTACCATATATCAAAGTTTTGTGATCATCGATTAAATTAACCATATCCTAGTCTCCATCTAAATCGTAAACTCAGATCCATCAGAATCACAAAATCCAATATTTTTAAATAAAATCAATGTTAAATGCTAAGTTAACAATGTTTTGTCAATATCATAACTTAGCCCCGTTTGGTGAAAATTAAAACAAAACTTCTAGCATATTTTGATAAAAATTGATAAAATATATGGTTGAAAAGTTATGAATCCTGTAAAATATGTCGTTAAAATTAATTATTAACTTTAACTTTTATTATAAAAATTTAGATTTTAATTTCTATTGAATAAAGGCTTAGTAGTGTTGGGTAGTTTACATAGACAAAAAAGGCAGAGAATTTGAAGCACATTGATGAGAGTAATAATGTGGTCTCTAGTGGTGGGCTTCACAAAGAAGAAGATAATTATCCCTCAACCTCGGAGGATGGCAGTAATCTATAATATATTAAATATTATATAGAATCATTTTTTTCAAT